ACAGCTAATCTCTCCCTATTTGTTTCAGTTAAAAAAAAGCCACTTGTCATACCATAAGAAAGATACTTGTATAATCAGACACTAAAGTAAATATAGTCTATTTAAACATAGTCTCATACCAAGTAAATATAAAAATATATATTACGAAATCCAGAATTTCAAAGTGCTATATACTAGGGGATCATTAAATTAGATCGTAGCATGGAAAATATAGCATTGACAATAGTGACATGATTCACTGATGGACAAAGGAAATCTCTTTGTCCTGCATGAATGCAACACTGAGTGTGACTACACGACACCCAGTTGGATTTATCATATCTCTAACTCTGACCTACTTTACTAGAAGTATTTACTATTTAACCCCCTCTCTCCTCTTTCCCTCTCTTTTAGTTTCTTTTCTTTAATGGGTCTTTTGAGGAGGGAATAAGTCCTCACTCCTTTGGACTACACCCTTTGTTACTGTGTGTCAGTTCAGTGAAACAGTGAATTTTACTGATTCGTGTCAGGTCCCTAGCTTGTTCTTCCTTTTTTAGGAGAAACATATGAGGACGTATCTTTAATTACGACTGAGACTCCAAGCCACGCGAGGGCATGGCAGAAATTTATGAGGATGTGAACTGTCGTTGTACTTATATAAGGTAAATCCTAAAGATCGAAATGTCCGTGCATGTGGTAGCTATGTTTTGTTGCATTAAGGTAAGGTTCAAAGTAACATGCGTGGGTTTTTTCCCCCTTGGAAATTAACAACCTTTAATAGGGTCTACAAACACCACCTATGATAGTTAATCCATGTATAAGCCATCTTTAAACAGTTAAATATCAAGTATATTAGAGAGATAATCCTCTATAGAGGTAAGGCGGGATCGATCGGTTAACGAAAAAAGTTAACTAAAAACTAGGCCCAAGTGGTTGATTGCATTAAGAAAATCCTTTAGATGTGGCTTAAGTATAAGTTGACAATTAAAGAAGTTTTTTTGTAAAATGACCTTATTTTAAAGGTGCATGGCTTCTAAATAATAAGGATTAGATTCATTGTCTACTTGGTTGCCCGAAGGGAGTACAATCCTGGGATTAGTAAACTTCTCTATATAAAACTATAATATTTTGCATTGATCTAAAGATTCCAATGTGCAAACCAAATGTCTTATACCCTATCCTAGACTGTTAATGCTATAGCAAAGCATGCATGCAATAGAGCTACTATTAATTTTCTCAGTCAGTCTTTTTATCATGTAATTGTACGAGTATTTTTTATTAGATGAAAAGTTAAGAGCACTGTAATTCATTGGGAACAATGATGTAGTTATATTCGGAATAAATCACAATGCCTTAAGACATTACTGGTGTACGATTACTACTGAGAAAGCGATATATCTATTGTCGAGATGATATTAGAGAGAATAAAAAGAATTTCGGCCCACTTCGGGGATATAGTTTCAAAAATTTTCTAAAGACTCTGAGTAGATGTCAATTTAACATTCTGAGCAATTTTTACCCTCCACATCTAACGTGATTTAGAAGACAAAATTGTATAGCTGAATATCTTGGGGTACTATAATTTTTTTCCCAAAAATAGTGCACATTGGTCTGAATATCACATGCACGACGCAATCAAAGCATGAAAATATACTTTTTTTTTAAGAAATAAAGGACAATATATAGAGAGGAAAAAACTTAGCCATAAAAAAGCGGATCCAAAACATGTTAAATAAAAAGCAAAATATATCATGCTATGCGGATGATGGGTATGAGGTGGCAACTTATTTTATTGAATGAGTTACTAAGAGATTGAATGCTCTGGCCCACATCTTTTCATGCGACTAGTAAAATAGGTCTTAACATATGGCTATCTTTTGGTAGGTTATTTAACAAAATGAGCCGCCACCTCATACTAACGAAATTAATGATGTACGTACTCTCTGGGATCTTCGAATTGATATGCACTCACTAGTATCAAATATGGATTAAGTCCACTAAGAATAAGTAATCTTGCCATCATACTCATCCATAATCCGAAACTCAATTGGCATTATAAAGTTTTGAAAACAATCTTTGAGAAATCAACTCCTGCTTTATCATCAAATCAGGCTTCATAAAGTTGATATGGTGCCTGAACCAAATCTCAAAATTGCAACTTAATTAATTAAAACGGTTTACATATTTTGGGAAAATAAGTTTTACTCCAATAATTCGAACTTTGACCGATTTAAAAGTTGTGTCTAAATTGTCCAAAATTAGGACAATACCTCGTGTTAAATCATGACTTATCATTTCCTCTGTTTCTTAGAAAGTTGCCCGTCCCAAAGCTGCAGCAATCTTTTACGAAATTGGTTGTATCCTCTAAATTCCAGCTACAAATCATTCACTCATCCATGTAACACATGCAAAATTAATTCTTGAAGGACCAAAGTGGGAGGGTACATGATAGCCTGAAGGACTTTAATTGTCGAGGGTTAAATGTCAAAGGGCACCCCTCCTTAACACCAATAGTACTGGCCTTGGAATCAAGTCTATCCTAGAGATGATAGCCCGAATGACTTTTGTGGAGGGTTAAATTGTCAAAGGTCACCCCTCCTTAACGCCAAGTATCATCTATTAACATCAGTCTGCATGGACGAACAATATTAACTACAGTGACAGTGACACCTGATAGTAAGATGTGCATCAAAATTTCCTGTTGGATCAGATATCCTCACAGAGATGGCCCTACAGGATTTCTTCTAGACCGTGAGGTAATAGACTTTGCTTCGACACTTTACTCATTAAGAGAATTATGCCGTTAATGGCCTCCACCAATATATATATGAATGGGCAACCTCTCAAAACAATTTATATGCTCTTTTTAGGAGATCTTGGCACTTACATAGGAGGCTATCCTTCCCTCGTATGCTCATTCAGGGTGGGCGGTCAAATTTCATTGATGTGAAAAGATGAATGACTATGCGATGTTTGGGGTGATATGACCCTGGGTGATTGGGTTGTACCCACATCTGTAGTGGGGTGTGAGGAGAAGCCATTGAGAGGTTACTCAGCCTACAATCGGAATGTGTACTAGAAAGTTCTCATCCAATGTGAAAAAGTTAGTGCTGAAGCATGCCAAATTTGAAGGGCGCCATAAAAAAAAGTGAAGATTCTTGGGTGCACTCTGTAGTAGATGGTATCTGAAAGCATGATTGGAGTTAGGAACGGTGCTACTCCGTTGAAAAAGTATAGAACGGAAATAACGATGTTAGACTTGGAAATTCAATCATGACTAATATTCCTTTTCAATTCTCTCTCTCTCTCTCTCTCTCAGGTAAAAGAGTGGCCAAAATTTCACTCAGGGAGGGTCTATCTGCGAAAACAAACCTACAAGGGATCTTTCCACGACCATGTGATAGTTGGTGAGGTCTAATGCCCAATTAACCCTTTCTTAACTCACAAATATATATCCAAAACTGAAATTCCTAAAACTTCCAAGGAAACGCACTAATAATAATAATAATAATAAAGGCTTCAGAATCACAATTTTGAATATCATGCAAGCCTTCTTCTGCGCGTATAGCGATGAATTATTTATAGCCTTTGATGCAAATTACAAATCTAACATGCGTTAGCATGCAATCCTCATAGACACAGCAACAAAATTGGTAGATGATCCAAACCTAAACATGCTCCACAAACAATTCTACGCTCATTTTTCCCTTGACGTCAATTTCCTCTCTTCAAAAGAAACATGTTGCAATAGCTGACAGGCATGCGGTTATTGATAGAAGGAAAACAGGCAACGCTGAACTCAATACGGTTGTTGAATCAACCAAGAAAACTTAATAAATGCCTAACAAAATCATGGATAAAATTCATGAAAGTAGTAAAATATTACAAAATTATACCTAGAATCGTAAATTACAACTCAAGTTTTACATATTACACAACACCTAATATTCGGATTTGGGATCAAAAGATCTGTGTGTTGTTAAGAACAACGATGATTTCTTTCACTGCTATCAAAAGTATACACACTGAATTGGCGGAGAAAATAGAATCTCTACACCTGCACATCAATATGAGCACACGCGGCCCAAAAGTACAAATCCTTCAGTTTCTCAAACAAGTATGACATAAGTGAGGGTATCTCATACAATGGCCCAAAATTATAAATAGTAAACGTCATTCGTTGAGTGAAGGAGTACTATAAGTGAGGGTATCTCATACAATGGCCCAAAATTTCTTCCTGCAAATTAGCACAGGTTCCGTTTGCTTCTCCTCATTCTCCAACATATGAGAAGTGACATCCCAAAGGAATTTTGGAGCAAGCGTTTTGATTCTCGAGAGAATAGATTTCTGGTCTCTGATAATGATAAAACCCTGTATAGTTAAATGCAGCCAAAAATATATTAGACTTAAGAGGACAGCAGAAACCCAGAACTCAAATAATAGGAACAATGTTTTAGAGCTCACAATAGATATATACCAATTTCCCACAAGATTGGAAAGAGGTACTAAAATGCAGTAAAAGATAAATAACAAAATCCTTACCATCGGTCATGGAAGGTGATTCACAACTTGAGGGTGATTTAAAAAGTGGTCTTTTTGTGTTTTTTTTTTTTTTTGTTCTTACTTTTTGTTGTGTGTACATGGAGGATGCAGGTGTTTGAGGAAATCTTGTGCCATTAAACTCACAGAATCCAAACAAGTGCACTAGCATTTGAGGAGCCAAGTTTTCCATTTTGATTTTGTTATGTCTTTCACCCGATCCCCCTCTCCCACCCAGCCACCCCCCACAAAAAGAAGAGCGTGCACACAGGCACCCACATAAATATAAACCCATCTTTCCTACTGAAGTTTCCATCCCTCTTATACAAAATAAACACCCTTACCAACAAAAAATTACCTCCCTCTTATATAAAACAAGATGAAACAAAACATTTCATGGGGGAATGCATGCACGTGCCAGCACACACACGTGCATGTGTTTGTGCACAGCAAAAGACTAACAGCAAAACCAAGTTAACCACCCCTCCCCTTCTGTGCAAACACAAAGAAATTGGAGAAAATTTGGGGGGGTGGGGTGGGGTGGGGGGGTTGGGGGACAAGACACCCTTTCCGCTAGTCCTTTTAGTTGAAAGTAAATGCTAAATTGGCTATTGCACAATAATAGACATTTTAAAGGACATGTTCTTTAAAAAGATGGAAATAGAAGTAAGTTCGAAGAATTCTTGACTTAGAAGTATCTGATAACGTCAATTGCAACACAAAATATCAGTACCAAATTCTGTGCTCCGAAAGCACTAGTACCAAAAGTTTTCAAAAAATCATCCATAGGACATGCCTACATCTTACATAGATGTATGTTCACTCCGCACATGGGCATATGACTTACCATATGCTATACAAGTTTCTTTATAGCTGAATAAAAAATGATCGAATATTTACTCAATAGAAACTAGGAGTCACCAAAGAATTCTCCTGAGATCAGTGAAGAAGTGGAAGGTGATATATTAGTGACACGGAGACATCGAACTGCTAGAGACAGTATATGGCCAGAAGCGCAACTTTTCTCAAGTGCAGACAGTTGAGGAAACCAACCAACACACTGGACAAGCAAGCAAAGTAAAAATCCTAGACTTTCTATAGAATTTTGAGCAAGCAAGAATCAGAACAATTATTTAGCTAATTATAATAGAAATTACCACAGGATCTTATCTAATGGTAACAAATAACAAAAACACAAAGTCAAATGGCCAAAGACTAAAGAGCAGAACAGCCCATACATATTAGTAAAAACCAGTTTTGCCACCATGCATTTCATTTTCTTTTGGGATCTCAGAGATTTTTGGACATGTTTTGAGTTTTTTGTTACTGGATAGTGCTATAATATCTTGCACCACTATCCGCTCCATTCCCACCAAAATAACCTTTGGTACTAAATTCTGGAACCATGGATTTTTGAAGTGACAGTAACTGTTTTATGACATAATTTAATTTTAGAATCTAAGGATCTGATACTTTTACGTCATTAAACTTCTTTCATGTGCTATAAATGCTAAGCTGTATTTTCTAAAAACATATATATTGCAACCTATGTTGCATGTCTATCATGAAGTCGTCCCTGTACCGGATACCAACACTCCTTGGACAATCCTTAAATATATGCATATATTCAAATGTTTAAAACCATACGCTTCTTGGACATATATACTAAACTTCACATCCACTTTCTCTTGAAACTCGTTGGAATCGGCTGGGTTCGTTTCAACCCATATACAACCCAAAACTATGATTTTAAAGGTTTGTTTAGTTATGTCGTTCAAAAACGAGGGGTTTCTAATTTGTAATCTACATAAGAAACAAACATAAAGAAAATATAAGAATGTTATAGGAAATTTGATTCTCATAACATGTGAATAAAAAATAACATTCATCTCTTGTAAGTTATTAATTTGTATACACACACACACACACACACACACACACACACACACACACACACACACAGCCTTGTCCTCGTACCCTACCTTTTACATATTTGTTGTGTCTTGTATCACACCCCACCCAAGCCGGTTGCAACCAATGTTAAAAATAACAATAACATATAATGAATGTTTAGCCTCTCAACAGCTTAAAGTGCATATAGCATAACCTATGTTGCACGAATACATGCGCATGTGCGGACAAAGGTGTGGATACATGACACGGCAATTTGTAAAAGATAGGATATGGGGACACTGCTATATACGTACATATTGAAATTAGTAAGGGAAAATTGCTTGCATTCCCCCTAAGAATTTACAAACAATGTGTTGCCCCCCACCCCCACCCCCAGTGAACCGGTCAATAGGTGAAAACCCCTCTAAATTTTAAAACATTCTACATGGACACCTCATCTCAAACTTAATTGCAAATCTATCCTTCTTTCACATCCTCTCTCTCTCTCTGTCTATCTAAACTTCTTGCTCTTCCTCCCTCAACAAACGCTGGACTCCCCCACTGTCGGCTAACCACCACCCAATATCCCACAGGTTGCCACCTCCGAGCCCCTCCACTACCTCAAAAGTTTCAATTAACACAAAGCAAACAAACTGATTAGTCACTGTTATTCTCTTAAAAAAACTAAAATCTTGCACATTTCTAATCCCTCTTCTTCACATAGCCCACTAACCAAAATCTTACAAGTAGCAATTGAGCTTCTGGTTATGTACGCTGAATTGAAGCTTGTATACTATGAATAGAAGCCCATTAACCATCATAAACTTGCATACATTGAATTGAAATTTAACTGTGAGTCAAACTTCTGAAGGCTGAGATCGCGAGGTTGTAATGGGAGGGATCAAAGCGAGGGGAGTCGATGGTGGATTTGAGGAGGTGGAAGGTGCTGGAGGTGTTG